TCCATATATCCAGCACTCTGGGTCATTTAATCCTGTGATAATATTTCAATCTAGCACACTTTTGACATGCAAGCTATTAGCTTATATCTTCAAAATGACCACTTGAACGCAAGGTTATCACACACACCGTGGGCTTTCTAAGGTCTCAGAGAAGCAGCCCAGCAGAGGTTGGGAAGCACAATTTCACAGAAAATCTTCTTTGCATTACATTTGCAGCTTCTACAGATACTTTCTGGAAACGAATCATCTTGTTTTTCCCACTGTGTTTCAATAAGGTGTAAAACAGCAGCGTCGAGGCACCTGGAGCTCAAGACTCGAGGGAAACCTGAAAGAAGTACCCAGGATCTAACAGGAAACACAAAATCCAAACACTCCCACTAGGAAAAAAACCTCACCCATCTTTCCTCTGTTTACCTAAACAAATGACCCTGAGTCCCCTGAGAAAATATATGCCAGCAACTAAATTGGACCTTGTCACATAGTCAGACATTTACTTGGAATCAGGTTGAAACAAGGACATTTGAACTATCCAGTAAATGCCAAATGATAATTTAGTAAAAAGATGGAGAAAAAAAAAAGGGGGGGGGGATAACTTGGACCATTTCAATTCATTTCTTCTAAACGCTATTTCTCAGCACATTTATTAATTTGCCTGAAATCCTTGCTCTGTCGTAACTGATGAAATTAAGTTCAATCAATATCAATCAACAACAGTCATTTCTCTACAACTATATTCGAATCAGCTCTATCCTTCAGCAAATCATTATGGCTTATTGAATCAATCCAAGCTAAACAGCTGGACTGGATGTCGTGGGGTAAACACGCAGCAATTACAAATACATTCTGACAGAAAAAAAAAATGCATCGCAACATTCAATAAGGCAAAATGGCTTTGACATGAAATGCATCATGCTGACACGGAAAAGAAGACAGTTTTATGTCCAGCTTAAAGTCAACTTGGTATAAACACAGCACGCAAACATGCTAAACTAATAGGACTGAAGGACTAACCATGAACAGTGATTGTTTGTTTGTTTCTTTGCCTAAAAAACAAACAAATGTGAGAGCTGCTTAAATATCCTGGTCCTTCTTAGTGCTCTCCATGCATGGTAAAACAATTCATAAATCATCTTTAGAGAACCAAACTCCAACCACAACATGCTAGATGTCAACAGCTCTGATGGGGAAGAAGCCCTGGTAAGAAAGCTTTACGCAGAAAAATACAAATTACGGTTCATTTAGTTCAGCTGTGTACAGTTACAGGGTTAACGCACGTCAGTTCTATTTTGGGGTGGATTTTAACTAATGTCCCAACAAACAGGACTTTCCACAACATTTCAGCATTAAAAAAACATTAGTCTAAGCAGGACTAAATATCAGTGCAGATCTGTTTACAGATCAGGTATCTGCAGCAGGTATTTACCCCATGATCATCAGCCAAGGAATATTAGAAATTAACATCCCATTTATCAGCCCCCAAATGAATCCCAGGAACAACTAATCAAGAGAAACGAGGCAGAACACAGTCTTAGTTTATGAACCTATGTGCATCAAGTTTCACCACAATCCAACAGGATGTCAGGAGTTCACATCTGTCTTTACGCGGCCATGACGTCCAGTCATTTTTTTCTACATACACAGAAACAAAACTGTAAAATGTGGAAAGAAGGCATTGTTATTGTGTAACTAGGTACAAGTGGAACTGGAGTCGTGGGATGAAATCAGCAGAGTACCTGCTGTGCTGTAAGTCTCCAGTGCTGAGCTGTGGTCTATCAAGATCTTATAACCGTAAGGAAGCGTATTATTTCACCATGATTGAAACCACAAGGGCGAAATGACTCGGCCATTTTCTTCTTCTGATTGGTTGCGGAAACAATTTGTAACTTTTCATTACATCTTCTCCTGTAACACCACAGCAATTTCCAGAAAAGATGCTATTCATTTGCTTACAAGCTCCACTCCAGCGTGGAGAACTGGAGCGGGGGCACCGAGGGCTACATTTTAATAAAATGCAGTATGAGCACCTGGTTACTAATGTCTTGTTTTCACTTCACAAGAGAAATATTTGGATAGGAAAGAGCATGAGTCTAAAAAGTATATGTTTGAATAACTAATGGAGCCCAACAATTAGATGCCATATACAAATGTTGTGTGTCTAACAGTAAACACACCCACATGCAGAATTTGTGGCCAGATTTCCAATCCACTTAACATTTCATAACAACCAAAATACTACGTGTGAAAGCACCAGCGTTTGAGTGTTGTCAGTTCTAAAATCTGGTCTTTTATCGACTATTTTCAAAAACCTAATGGTGGATGGGATGTCAAAAACAAGACAGAAAAGATGAACAAAGGAAAAACAATTACAAAAAAGAGGAAAATAAACTGAAATAAAGTCACCCGGTGAAAAATAACTTCACAGACAGAAAAACAAAAACTTAGATAGAAAGAGAGACGACCAGTCAAAGAGACAGAAAACACACTGACGGACAGTTTACTCCAGTCAGCGAGTGTTGCTGACAAACTACAGTCTGATGTTACTTAGTATGGAGTGTTGGAGCCAAGCTGATTATTTACTGACAATCCTCTAATGAGACAATATACTGGAATGTGAGTAAGCAAAGATGCTTCTTTGTGGAAAAGCCATTAGTCTAGTTTGTGAAAAACATGGACCAAAGGGGAAATCAGGAGGAAACGGCGGCATGACCTTTCAGCTGTGAGCTCTTTAAACAAGCTAGGAGACAACCCTCATGGCCTTTGTTTAAACTCCGAAATGTCAAAGGAGCATTTTTTTCTATCTAAACACTTGACATGGGAGAAAGTTATACACATCCAAAGCTTTTTGCAGCTACAGAGATGACTTCACCCAAAACAGACACTTATCACTCCTGCTGGGAAAACGTTTCCCAGGGACTTAAAAAAAAGAAAGAAAGAAAAACGTTGAACGACTTCCTTATTTCCCCTGACTCATCACTGTGATGCTTTAGTAGAAAATGTAACAGTGTTTAAAGGAGCCTAAACACAGTGAGAGTCAACAAAGTACAGACTATGAAGAGGTTTTCATATTAATTAGAACGGACGGACAGACAGACA